CCCCTTCTGTTTATGTGTGGTTTTTATGCATTTTGTGTTGGGAATCCATTAGAATTGTAAGGTGAGGCACAACAAGACATTGGCTTCTGCCTCTTCCATTTTGGTCGTATAGGGTTAAAGCTTTGTTTGCTTTTGCGTGGCGTGCTCTTTTATGTGACCAAATAAAATCATTTGGATTGTGACTGCTGTTTTGCTCATCTGACAGATGCAATACTCACTGTGCACCATTAATAAATAAGCTTTGCCAGTGTTTTCATGTTTGCATGTCATTTTACAGGCGCAGAGAATTGATAAATCAGCTCCATAGAGTATTAGTGGAGGATGTATTAGCTATAAACAGCCTAAATTGTAGCTCAGTATCTGTAAAATTGACTGAATTTTGGTGTTTGTTTGTTAAGGTCAGTCGGCTGTGAGTGTCATCTTGACAGGTAGATTTTAAAAGGTAATCAGTTTTTCAGACAATGTTTACTTTCTGAGAGTTTCATAATGACACACAGGCAAATGTTTTCCCACTCTTTTGACTACTGTGTCAATATAAATGTGATCCAGAAAGTGTTGTTTTTTAAACCATGGCACATATTTAAGGTYTAAGTTGTTTCTACTCACTTGAAAAGTCTGCGCTCCCTCTCCACGTACAATACAGCAGGACGAATTCAGCTCAATCTGACCCTGAGGTTTTCTGATCACATCACTCTAAAAAAATACACAAACAAATTTTATAATTTCTGTTCAAAACAATACAACCTCAGTGACTGAAAATTTATATACTGAAATAAGTGATATTTAAATTGACTGCTGCTGTCCACACAAACAGAAATCACTGAAAAAAAAATCCAGCTGTGTTTTCTGTGCATATGACACCTTAAGCCGGGTACACAACGGACGTGATTTGAGCAGCCAGAGCAGCCAGTTTACATGCAGTCTATGGTGGACGCGCATCTAGAAGCAGCGTGGCACGTTTTGTCAGTTTAGCGCCYCGCGCAAGGTAGCGGTAGGATGTGGCAGAGCGTTTTCCGTGCATGTGGCGCGTCCAAAGCAGCCGCTGCTCGAGTTAAAAAAATGGAACTTTTGCTGCTCGACACACCGCAGCAACCAATCAGATAGAATCATACTTCCACGTGACGGTTTCCTGAACCCAAAACAGACGGACAGGAGCTCTTTAGCTGAAATCGACCATCTGCAGTCGGTGTTCTGGCTGGAGATATCAGCACCGATGCGGGTCAGCAGCTCGTTAAACTGACCGTGGTGTTAAACTGGGCTCGGGACAAAAAAAATAGTCTGTCAGCTCGCAGCTCCTGAAGTGATGAAACTAACCGAACAAACCATCTCTAAATCATCTGGTGAATTAATTATCTGCTGTGCACAACGTTCACTTGCTCTTTAGTAAATAAAGCAAAGTCATTTTCTTTATTTTATCTTTATTTCACCTGTCATTAAAGACAGACCGGAAAAAAAACCAAGACGCTCCTCCCTCTTCAGACGCACGTCTAGTCTGCTGCTGCGTTCACACCGAACGTGTTTCAGTGCCTCCAACTTGAGGCGTTGGGCGCATTTTTGCTGCRCAAAAAGCATTTGGTGGGAACCRGGCTTTAGAAGGAAGGAAACAAGATGCACTCACAGGAGATTTGTAGTAGAGGATCTCGCCGTTTCTCAGGATGAACCAGCGACGCTTCCAGGCTTTCACCTGACTGCCCATCTTCAGCAAGTAACCAGACTTCTCCAGCATCTCCTTCCGAAAAACAAGTGATTTCAGTAGGTTTTCTGGGTTCAAACTGAACTCACCTAACTTAGGCTGCTTAACGTCCTAGGTCACTGAACTTCTGGAGACTTAATTATCTAAAAAAATTAATTTAAGATAAATAAATAATAAAAACGTTGCAGAGTAGTTTTAGGTGTTTCAGATTCTTCTTAATTTAGTTTCTGTAATTCTACAGCATACCCCAAATATTACCGGTCTGAGTACACAAACTGTGTTAATAGCCCTAAAAACAAAGGCTACACAAATATAAATACTTATTTATACTCATTTTGTGCTTAAAAATTATAGGGAAAATATTACATCACCAATATTTTATTACCCTTTAAACTGATTTCTGAAGTGCAGTACTTCCCAAACTTTTCAGCCTTTGACCCACAAAATAACAGTAGCAGAGACCTGAGCCCACAACTATTTTTGGATGATAAACATTTGTATCAGGTCAACAAAACATGGGCATAGTAACAATATTTATTATTCTACATTTATACATTTTAGGCAAATAAGGCAAAATGTAATTTAGAAAATCTTTTCAGGACCCCACCTTGATGTTTCAGGACCCCACTTTGGTTTCCGACCGCAACTTTGGGAACCACTGCTCTAGTGGACTAAGTGATTTATGGGTGAGTGCAAATCAGGTGGCTACAATGTGTGCAACAAAATAATGTGCTCATACTAAAATACAGTGTTGCAATCACACAAAAGGGAGCTGTGATTTTCAAAACCAGGCCATGCAAAACACAGCTGCATGGCCTGCTAGTTATCTGTTATGGTCCAATTTGCCTATTCTCTCACAGTTTTCTTGTAGTTTCGAGTTTCCAACTAGTCTCTAACAGCCGCAGCTCTGTGATGCACTGGCTTCAGACACTTCCCTCCTGTGTCAGATCTACTTACAGGCCCAGCGCTCTCGCAGGAGTAGGTGGAGGTACGCTGGACTTTATGCTCTGGTTCAGAATATTCACTGTCCAGGGAGTAGGCATCGGGAGGAATAGCGTAATCACTTTCTGAGCTGATGGAGGACATGGACACGCCTGCAGCAAAAGAAAAAAATACATTATAAGCTGTAAACACATTTACTTACATTGGGAACAGTTGCTTAACCTGCCTGAAACTGGGTCACACTTAGGTGTTTGGTTTCTTACTCAATCACACATTTGGCTTTAACTTATTGAATAAATTAAAGGATGTCTTTAAGTCGACTTTTTCCAATCCTCACCTCTCTTTACAGCACGTGGGCTCCCTGGAACGCTGCTCTTTTTATCCGGGCTCAGGATGGAGGTTCGTAAACTCGCAAGAGAGCTGCTGTCGTCCTCCGACCCGGAGTCATCGTCCGGCAGAGGCACGCTGCTGATCTGAGTGGCTTTCTARAACACACACAGTCACCGAGACACGTGAAAGCTGCTCCCTGATTATGACTTGTGCACACAGTGCTCCACCAAATAAATAAAACCTGAAGCACYAGATACATAAAAATGTAAAGAAAGCAGCACATGTAACATTTTACTCACCCCTTTCAGTGTGGTGTAGACTGGAACGTTAATATTCTTATAGATCAACTGTGAAAATGGACCTGCTGCAGGATACTGGGGCAGGTTGGATCCTAAAATAAACACATGGATTTGGTTTTGATGTAATACATAAACTACATAGTAACAAACAACCAGTGTGGCCATAGGTGAATTTTACAGAAAAAATAAGTTCAAAACAGCAGAAAACATGAAAAAAAAAGATTAATATCAACATTTTTTAATATACCTAAGGGTGAAAACATAAAAGGTAAAAAATAGAAGTAAAATCTGATTAAGATAAGAAAAATGTGTTTTAACACTATTTTATTGTTAGTCACGCATTATAACATCCATGTTAATAATTAATCTATTCATACACCTGCGTTAGTCATGGAGTTCCTCAGGGTTCAGTACTCATTACTTTATAGGTTTCCATTAGGTAAAAATAATGGACAGCATGGGATAAAATTCATTATTATGCTGATGATACTTTGGTAAACTTATCCATGAAATCCAGTCATTTACTTAGTTTACAACATGTCTTAGATACATAAAATCTTGAAACCTTTAAGTTTTTTTTGCTAATAAACTCAGACATAAAGCAGATTGAAATTTTGGAACCAGAGCATATTTAAAACAAACTTTGCAATCTTTGACTTATTATTGGTGGCATTCACTTGATTAGCTCTATTATGAGCCAATATGATTTTACACTAAGATATATTGCAAAAAAAATGAATATATGCTTTTGACTATAACATTTCCTATTGTRAGGATGTCTGAACAAACTTGCTATAAAGTGATCCTCCTGCTACCCTTGGGTCAAAATGACCCACGTGAGATAAAAGTGAAACTCATGTTTCATTGTGAACCAAGGGCAGCAGAAGGGTTAAATCCTGTTAAATAGAAACGTTTTTCATAATTGACATCTTTATTGTGTAACAATTGGATTAAATTTACTGCTTGTGGTTATAATACAACATAAATGTTTTACACTGAATTATGGTTTGGAATTGTTACATCTTTGTATCTAACCTGTATCTGTGAACTAATGCCAAATAAATGAACTACATTGAAATTATTATACACTTGTGTCTTTAGGAATAGCAATTTTTTATCAGTTGCATCTCAATGAAAACAGAGCTACTGTATATGGTAGAAAGCTGAATGTGAGCAATAGGTTTAAGCGATATTTACAAATGAAAAATGTCTGGATATTGCAAAATGGAGTAAAATCTGTGTATTTTACGGACAATCCGTACAACTTGACATGTATGCGTTTTTATTGTAGCTGATGAAAAAGCAGCGATTCCTTTCATTTCTTCCACCCCTGCAGCATCCTCCAGGCCTTTTAAAAAGTAGGAGGTGGGCTAGAGAGCGTCCTGAAGTGAAGCACACACCTGCACAGGTGTGTGGAGCCTCGGGGCCAGAGGAAGTGACATCAAAAGGAGCAATGACAGATCCAAGCAGTCACCCTCCCCACCTTGTGCCCCCACAGCAGCTTATAAGCATCAGTTAAATGACATGTCTGTTCACAGTTCTGACCTCAGTTCCCCCACACAACAAGTAACAACACTCAGACTTATGACATGCACACAGATGACTGAGCTCACGCACAAGCTTACAGGAGAGAAGAAGAACACATGGATTGGGTTTAATTATTGCTATGGGAGCCATGTGGTGGTGAGTGAGTGGATGATTCTTGGTTCTCACCTCGTCCGGGGCCCCTGGCTACAGCGCCGGACTCAGACACTCTCATTCCTGACTTAGCCACAGCGTAGATCCGACTCTCCTGCAGAGCAGCAAAGTCAGAAGTGTTACAGCTAATGTCCAAACAAGACTTAAAAATAAACAGTTTTCTGTGAAAAACAAGTGTGAATGTTGAGTGCAAAATTAAAGTTGCTGAAAAACCTGAAACTGAGTTGTTAAAGCTAATAGTGCAAAACACTCCGTACAGGTGCTCGTCATAAAATTAGAATATCATGAAAAGGTTGATTTTTAGTAATTCTTTTCAAAAAGTGAAACTTGTATATTATATTCATTTATTACACACAGATTGATATATTTCAAATGTTTCTTTTTTATAATTTTGATGATTATAACTGACAACTAATGAAACCAGAATCTCATACAAAAAATGAATTTTTAGACATTTTGCAGCTGAAAAGTATGAACATGAAAGTTATGAGCACATACAGCCCTTAATACTTACAGGTTAAGTTTATCAAAAGGCAAGCTAACCGTAACTAAAGGCTGCATGGCTAAAAATGACAACATGCTAGCTAAAAGCTAAATTTACCAAAAGACTGCCTAAGTGGTTAATGTAGCAAGACAGTAGTTAGAAGCTAAAAGCAGCAATAGGTTAGTTAAAAGTAGATAAAAGTATAAAAGTATTAAAAGCCTAACTAGAAGCTGAAAGGAACTAAAATCTGGCTAACATTAGCTGAATGGTAGCTAAACAAAAATAGCATAAGACACAGAGTAAGTATGCAGAAGCAGCTTTCAGACTGAACAATATTTTAAAGAACTTGAAGATATTTCAGTATATTTCTATGGTGAAAATATTTGTAAATAAASTTTTAAATTAAAAAAATACAAACTGAATAATACAAACTAGACAGTTTCTAATGAAACAAATGCAAATGTTACGAAATGTTTCATGCAAATATTATGAAAACAAAATGTTATAGCACCCATTAAAAGAGCTGAACATTTTGATATTTGAACAAGTAAAATAATACAAAACATGCAGAAGTTGTTGGATTGTGAAACTAAATAGGAAATAAAACTAATAGGATAACAAGAGTGTGACTGCTGCACCAGCATTCACACAATAAACTTTTCAATCCCTTTTTTAAAATAAACACAACAAGAACAGGAATTGTGTGCGTCTCCGTTACCCATGAAGGGAAGCGATGCAAAGGAGGAGTAGGTGGCTTGAGAACCTCTGGATCCAGCTGCTCAAGCTCTTCTGCGAGCCCCACAAAGGAAACGCCATCCTGAGACAGCTCCTCTGGCTGCGGCCCCTCCAGTACTCCATCCATGCAGTCCAGGAGCCCATCGTCAATGTCCGTTTCTTCGATGAGCTGGGAGAAAGGAGAAGTGGCAGTGCTCGTGCTCTTCAGAGTGGAGGAAGTGGAGGAAGGCGAGGTGATGTCTATGCTGACGTTGAGGTGGTGCAGTCGGTCCAGGCTGGGTTGTGGCTGGCTGTAGTGCTTCTTCACCAGCTGGATGCTGTCTCTGGGGGTGAGCGGAGTCCGTACTTTAGGTAAGGTCAGGCTAGTGCCGGACTGAGGGACCGAAGGCTGGGGAGGATTGGGGAAGGGGTTGTTGGTGGAGGGAGAGCGGGACAGGAGAGGGCTTTTGGGCTGTGCTCTGATGGTCGGCAGGGGAGAGCTCGGCCCCTGGGCCATCTCATACGCAGACGATGAAGATGAAGATGATGAGGATGAGTGAAGGCACTGAGAGCGGAACTTGCTACTGAGCTCATCAGAGGAGTTGTCTCTGTCAGAGACTTCGGCCTGGCTCTGTGAGACCCCTGGGAGCTCTGGTCCCTCTCTGCTCCAACCCAGACTGTCAGGAGACGTGAACTCTCCGAGGCAAACTCCTTTACAAACCTGTTCAGGTGATCTTTTCACATCTGTGGAGGCAGAACGCAAAGTAAATACCTTTCTGAAAGCCAGCACATAATGGACAATACAAAAACAATACATACAGTACATTACGTTACATAGTAACAGAAGAGCTAAAGTAATCATTGATAATGACTCCTGCTTTGTCGTATGATGAACTCATTGTTTCAAAAACTTCAAGTTTACCTGAATAATACAAACTCAGGGCTCAGTCTAGACTAACTTTTTGCACTGGTTGCACCGGTGCGCCTAATATTTTTTCTTGGGTGCTCCAGCACAAAAGTTAGGTGCACCCAAATTTTCAACCACGTCGCATTTAACATCAGAGTTTTACAGGTTATTTTTTWWATCACTGTTCATTAAGGCAACATTAACTCAAAAATAATTAATTAATAATCTAGTAAACATAAAGTTCTTCATTTGAAKCAGAGTTGTAGACATTTAACTTACTGAAAAGTATTTAAAGTGATTCTATAAAATTCTAAGTGCAAATGTTAAAGAGCTGAACGTCTTATAAACATCTTAAACATTTCATGGTTAAATGGTTTTAGACATCTGCCCCTCAGATGGACAACTATGGATCTTTGGCCTTGGATAAACCAGAATGATGAACAGAGAATAATGATTAATAACAGAAATATTACTGATATTTATTAAAAGGTTGTGCAGATTTTTAAAAAATAATAACACATAAAAGTCTGCAATTTCATTAGCATTAGTTGAATCTTATATTATTTCACTTAAATATCTAATATGTCTAGTTTTATCCTCAGGAGACCCAGAAGAACCTATTTCAGATACTTGGAATGTAACTGTGGTGAAACTGATTAAGTGRAAKYGKGGKCTGCCATAAARGTGAGCTTCCTCGTCCTGCTGAAATGATCTGCTCACAGAGTAGACCCCGACTGTTAAATTAACAAGATGGATTTAAGAGTGAGCAACCGTCCACATCTTTTCATCTCCGGCTAACAAGAAAAAAAAGGTTTTTAGACTCCGATCTGGGTAAAAAAATTAAAATAAAACTACGTTTGTTTCGCTATGCGTGTGCGCYCGCGTGTGTACAGATTTTTGTTCCACGATGTGTACAGTTATTGACCATTTCCCCGGTACACACAGCCTGGTGAGGTTAGGGTTATGGTCAGGTGTGTAGTCTACCCTGGGAGGTTATGGTTGGCCGTAGGGACAGGGAAATGAATGGAAGTTAATGCAAAGTCCCCATGAGGATAGAATAACAAACGTGTGTGGGCGGGAGGTGTGGAGCAGAGCCCGCCAGCAGAGCGCAGTGTTATTAGGAGAGATGAGACTGTGTCGGTGGGCAACTGTTATGGTTGATACTGCTGGATTGTTTTTTTATGGAACATGAAAACTTTTTGTTTCAGCGGGCTCCCCCTCCCCTTCGAATGACTGAAAGGTCACACCAGTGCGACCGGACATTTTTTTTTGTCGCACTGTTAGGAAATCAGGTCGCATTTGCGACCAAATTGGTCGCACTCTAGAGCCCTGAAACTAGACAGTTTCTAATTATATTTGAATAGCACTTTTACTGCCCTAAATTCCAACATAACTTTGGAATGATCTAATATTTTGATGTGTATTTTGCGTGTTTTACTTCAAAGACGCACAACAAGAGACAAGACCAAATGTTTGTCGCACAACAGTAGCAAGGGTGCTCCAYCTCTTGCTGGCACCCTTAAATTTGAGGGCAGCACACCTGTTGGCAGAGTCTTGATAACAGAGGCGGCCCTATGCGGACTTGTTTGTCTCCAGCTCTCATCTTGGACAGGCGGCGTGCCCGGGCAGCTGGGAGGAAACAGCGGGCTGTTGGGSACCAGGTGGGTGTCTGTCACAGGAGAGGCAGCAGGAGACCCAGAGGAGGCAGGCTTCTCTAGAACAGCTAAAAAGCAAAGACAAAACCAATGAAAGACGAGCAATTTTGCCAGACAAACAGTTAACTTCAGGTTCAGAGCAGTGTGTGTCAGAGTAAAAACACAGACAGGAGGAAGATTAAGCAACAGCTGTGGTAGAGAGATGGAAACATTGCTTCACTGCTGGCTCTAACTACAGGTCTGGAGAAATACTGCTTGCACAGTTCAGCTGAGGTGTCTTATTATACGAAGCACATTTTGCACCGGTTTCAACACCTTGTGTCTAAATATAGGTTAGGAAATACTGGTGAGGGTGATGCTCATGTTAATTAGCCATGTGCTGCTCTTCCTTTTAATTAGTCTCGTGGAGCCGTGGTCTGGAAAGTTTATGTCCTGCTGCAGCACGACACTCACAGGAAGGCTGTAATTTTTAAAAATGACTAAGGTAGAAACACCCTGGAGTTAGGTGACTCTGAACATCTGTATCCTGAGTGCACACAATGGTGATTCTTTCCATTTTTAAAAACTGCTGCAAATAAATTGTAATCAAATCATATGTCTACAGCATGCTAATAAAAAAATCAAAGATTATGAAAAAAATAAAAAACAGCTATTTTTCATGGATGGATTAGTGTGCACGGCATGAATAATCTTAATAGTAATAATGAAATATAAAATGCATAAAGTTTTAAAGCAACATTTGCTCCAATGCAAAATATTTAACTTTGAGCTTTGTTTATTTTAGCAAAGCATTGCAGCAGCGACAACATAGCTTTGTAATAAGATATATCTGTGCAGAAATATTCCAACTTTTTCAAAACATTTTGTTCTCATCAATTAAAAAAAGATTTTTCTAAGTTGCAATTTTTTTTGTTTTTAGAGAAATACAGTATACTGTACTTCTCAAATGGTTTGAAAATGACAATTTGTTCTTTGTTTGTATTTTGCATAGACTCCCATTTATTATTTTGAAGTGTTTACAGTGTACAGTTGTAAACATCATCAGCAGGACTCACAGTGTAGTTTGTCTTGCAGCAGTGTGAGCTGTTCTGTCTGTTTCATATTAGCCGATTTCAGCTGTTGGTTCTCCACCTCCATCTGTAACAAAGCAGATGATGATTGAATCATAAGAGACAAACTAAAAGCTAAAATATTTAGTAAAAATTAGTTGAGATAAAATAAGCTAGAGAAAATGTTTTTATCAACAATGGTTTTTTTTCTGAATGCTGGATCACTTTTGCTGAAAAAGCTAAAGTGAGATGGTAAAGTGAAAACAAAAACAAAAGAGCAAAACACTAAGTAGAAAATAAGCTAATAGCTAAATGTATCAAAACCCTAACTGAAAATAGCAAAACACTAGGAAAAAGATAAAGGTAGCAAAATGTTAGCAAAAAGCTAAATGCAGCAAAATGATCCAAAAGCTAAATAGTAACACAGGAAAACAAAAGTATATTGAAGTTGATTTTGAAGAGAATGATGTTTTGAAGGAATGGAAAATAGCTTAAATACATTTTTAAGAGGAAAATATTTGTAAAGAAAGTTGAAAATAAAAGTGAATGAGAACAATGCATTGCAAGTACAGAAAACATAAAGAATTAAATAAACCAAAAAAATTTAAGAAATGTGTTCAAAAATGAATGGATTACATTAAGTAAGTACTCATTTATTTGTTTATATATATATAGGCTATAAATCTTATACCGGGCACCTGATTGGCAGCACCTGGTGGTTTCAGAAGCTTAAAACAAAACAGCAAAATAAGCTGTTTGGCAGAGAAAACCTGACAAACTCTTCATACTCAGCTCTACTGCTCATCCCACAAATGCTTGTTCCTTACAAGGGAATTAACAGGCTTTCCAACGATATAAGATTTATTGCCAAGAAACATCATTACAACAAAGAAATAATCTACCAAACACAAAGTTTCTTACTTTGTGTGCTGAGTTTATAGAAACACATGTGACATTTTGAATAATAAATGCTCTTCTTTAGTCAGAGATTGATGTTCAAATGTCTCCACTCACCTCTCTGAGTTTAAACGTGACCCAGTCTTTAATCTTGGCAGCTTTCTCCTCAATAATTTTTGCTTCCTGGGCTCTGACTAAGATCTGTAGCAGAAGAAGAAGAAGAGGTTTTATGGAATTTAACATACAGGTCATGCACAAAAATGGGCATCTCTCTTTCTTATCTGGCTTTTCCATCCATACCTGTTGTTCCAGCTGTGTCTCTAATCTTTTTATGACAGCATCTTTTTCATGAACCTGACCCGTCAGTTCTTGATACTTTCGGTACAGCGAGCTCTCCGACTCACTGATTTGTACGTTTGCAGACTTCAGCTTTTCTTCCATAACGTGGATCTGAAATGCACGTTAAAAGAAGTAAAGGCAGAAGCACAAATCTGCATGACTGGTTTAGTTTTCTTTGGCTCCACAGAAAACAAGAAAGGAAAGAAGAGGATTTACCAACTCAGCCTAGAACAGATACAATTTTCTCAGGTGTAAGTTTGTTTTAAAAGAAATATATATTTTTAATTGCTACTTAAAAAAACCCCAATCTGGAACAGCCAGAAGTTGCAGATAATTGCTGATTAAATGTGGCACTAAATAAGATATTTATGATACATATGAGGTTTCTAATCCTTAAACAATTCCCTACTTTTGATGTTATAGATTACATATTTTCTTCAATCAATCAATCAATCAATCAATCAATCAATCAATCAATCAATCAATCAATCAA